TCCGTAGCCCAAGCTGGCCTCGAACTCACAGAGATCCGGCTGGCTCTACCTCCCGAGTACTCGGATTAAAGACATGTGCCACCACTGCCCCGCCTTCTTTTTTTTTTTTTTTTAAATATTTATTCATTGTATGTAGATGCAGGTTTGTGCGTTCCACAGTGTGCATGGGGAGGTCAGAGGAAAATTTTTTAGGAGTCGATTCTTTCCTTCCACCTTGATTCTGGGCCGGTTTCTGGCTATTGCACTATGTGCTCCGTATTATCTGGTCTGCTAATTAGTGGGCCCACTGTTTCTACCCATCATCTTGCCATCAGGAATGCTGGAATTAAAGGTGGGTGCCAGGCTTTTTATATGGGCTCTGGAAGCAAATTCAGTTTGGTAGGTCTGTGTGGTGGTGTCTTTATGCCCTGAGGCATCTCCTAGGCCCTCAGTTCCTTCTTTAATAAGGGTGGGGATTAGGATTATATTGTCTACCAATTATGAGAGAAATCCTAGACAAGGTGTCAAGCCAGCCTCTAGCAATGCTCAAAAAGGCATGCAGACCCTGAGTCAACAAATGGGAAAGAAAGAATACTCATCTTCGATAATGGTCACAGCCAGGTACATGTTTGCAACCCCAGCAGAAGATCAGGAGTTTTAAGCAAATCTGAGCTCTATGAGACCATGTCTCAAGGGGGGGAAAAATCACAAAACCAAAATAAAAGGGTTACATCTTCAAGCAGTATTTGGGGTATTTTCTTCTTTCTTTCTTTTCTTTTTTCTTTTTTAAGAATTGAATCATTTGCTGGGCATGGTGGTGCATGCCTTTAATCCCAGCACTAGGAAGGCAGAGGGAGGCAGATCTCTGAGTTCGAGGCCAGCCTGATCTACAGAGTGAGTCCTTGAACAGCCAAGGCTACACAGAAAAATCTTGTCTCAAAAACCCAAAAATAAAATAAAAGAATTGAATTATTACAGGCAATTGTACCTAAGCAACCAGTATTAATAAATTAACAGAGTACTTATAGTAGTGGGCTGAGAATGTCGCTCAGTGGGCAGAGTCTTTGTCTAACATGTGAGATGCCCTAGATCTGAGCCACAGGTCTATGTGATAGAAGACACCTGAAATTGTAGCATGGGGGGTGGGGGGGTGGGGGGTGGGGGGTAGGTAGAGGCAGGAGAATCCGAAGTTTAAGGTCATTTTTGGTTATATACCAAGTCTGAGACTGGCCTGATAGGAAACCTTGTCTCAAAAGGAAAAAAAAAATCCTTTCCATCTTCACAATACTCTTGAAGTAATGGTATAAAACGGCACTTTAACAAACACACATTAAAAGCCAATAAACACTAACCACCATGAATACAAGGCCTAGTTCCCATTTGTGATTTTTTTCCAGCCATTTAAATTAGTTCATAAAAATCAATGTTCTCTTCACATAAATGGAATTTGTTAAGACATTTCTATCTCTACAACCATTCTAGTTTTGCCTGGCAGTGATGGTGCCCACCTCTAATGACCACTGCAGTCAGGAGTGATGGTGCCCACCTCTAATGACCACTGCAGTCAGGAGTGATGGTGCCCACCTCCAACAACCACTGCAGTCAGGAGTGATGGTGCCCACCTCCAACAACCACGGCAATTGGGCCTGGCAGTGAGGGTGCCCACCTCTAACAACCACTGCAGCCAGGAGTGAGGATGCCCACCTCTAACAACCACTGCAGTTGGGCCTGGCAGGATTGGTGCCCACCTCTAATCCAAGCACTCGGGAGACTGAAGCAAGGGGATTGTGGTTTAGATTCTTCCGAGTGAATGGTAAGGTGCTTTCTATAAAAACCAAGGCGGGATCGGGGGAGAGGATAACTGTAGTCAGAACACTATCTGAAAAGGGCAATACAAGAGAATCTCAAGGTCAGAAACAGGCTGGGCAACTGGCAGCAGTGGTGCCTGCTTCTAATCAGAACACCTGGAAGAGTGAAGCAGCCCGGGCAATACAGTGAGTCCTCATCTCCAAAGCCAAGCCAACGGCTTCTGGAAGCCCTGTTTTGCGTTTATTTTTCAAAATCTCACTTATTTATGTGTCATGGCATGGGTGTAGCGATCAGAGGACAATGGGAGATGACTTTCTCACCATCATGTGGGTCCTGGGGCTCCTATTCAGGTAGTCAGGCTTGGTGACAACAAGTTTTTGTTGTTGTTGTTTGTTTGTTTGTTTTTCATTTTTTTTTAAACCTGCTGAGTCATTTCACCAGTCCTTACGGTTTTTTAAACAGGGCTCACACAGCCTGGCCGGGAGCTCCAGAAGTTTCAGCCTCAGCTTGTGTACATGGCTACAACCACACTAGTCACTTCTTTCTTTGGAGAGTGGTTTTTTTCTTTTCCTTTAAAAAAAAGATTTGTTTTTATTATTTTTACTGGGGTGTGTGTGTGTGTCTGTATGAATGTTTGTCATGCCTGTGCATACCCGCAGAGGCCAGAAGTGGGCAGCACATCCTCCGTAGCTGAAGTTACAGGTGGTTACCAGCCGACTGACATGGATGCTAGGAACTCAGGCCTTGCAGAAGATCAGCAGTGCTCTTCACCTCTGGACCATCTCTCCAATCCCTGGAGAGTGGTTTTCAAAGTCTAGTGTGTATATCAGAATCACTGGAGAGTTGGCAAAACATCCAGATACCCAAAAGCTTCACAGAGAAAAGACAGTGGTTTCTATCCCCTCCACATTCTCCAGCACCAGCTTCCAAACCTGGCTGAATCTGCGAAGCTGTGAAAACACATTCCCATGTTTTCCTGGAAATTTTCATTGAAAAGATTTAAGATTAATTCTCTTGAAAGCTTAAAACATGAAATGCAGACACAAACACACACACACATGCACACATACCACACACATACACATAAACACACACACACACACACACACACACACACACACACACACAAAACTTTTGATGGTTCTAATAAACCAGATATGGGACATTTACTTAAACCCTAGCCTATAATTTGAGGCCTTAGGATAAAGTTCACTGAGAATATTAGTCTTAGGTAGGTTGTAAATCACCATTCTGGGGAAAATTTAACAAATTTCTTCCTAATTTCTAGTACTTAAGTTATCTAATGGTTTTCAGTGTGTCCTCTCCCAGTCCTTAGGCCAAGGTCTGTGCATATTGGTGTCCTGTGGCTGCTAAGCACAGGCTGCTCACTGTGTTCATAACGTTAAATCGCTCGGCAGAATTCTGTTTGATTACCTCCCCTCTCTTTCTTACATCCCTGCAGCTGTGTAGAACAGACCTATTTCAGAGCACTAAGCCAGTTGGCTTCATTTACAGCATTATGCAGGAGACAGCATCCCAAGCTGGATGGGGCTACAGAGTGAGATCCTATTTTTTTTTTAATAAACCTGCCTAGAATGAATTCTTTTTTTTTTCATTTTTCTTTATTAAGAAGTCTTCCACTCACTCTACACACCATCCACAGATCCCATCTTAGAATGAATTCTTTAAAGATTTATTTATTATGTATACAGTCCTCTGCCTGCATGTCTGCCTACAGGCGAAAGAGGGCACCAGATCACGTTACAGATGGCTGTGAGCCACCATATGGTTGCTGGGAATTGAACTCAGGACCTCTGGAAGAGCAGCCAGTGCTCTTAACCTCTGAGCCATCTCTCCAGCCTGAGACCCTATTTAGCCCGAGATCCTATTTTTAAACAAAACAAAAGAAACAACAAAATACATCATCCCAGGACACCACCCCTCTAAAATCCTCGCCTCTACTAATTGAGAAACTCTAGATAAATCTGAGCAAAAAAGTGTGTGTGTGTGTGTGTGTGTGTGTGTGGTAAGAAATGTGATCATGATTCAGATAGGTAGCTTTACAGCTTAAGTGTTTCTGTTTTTTTTTTCACCCCCGGAGCCGAGGACCGAAGGGCCTTGCACTTACTAGGCAAGTGCTCTACCACTGAGCTAAATCCCCAACCCCTTGTTGTTGCTGTTTAAACCTTTATTTTATGCATATGGGTGTTATGCCTACATGTATATCTGTGCAATACATGCAATGCCTGAGGATGCTGGAGGGGGCATCGGATCCCCTGGAAACTGGAGTTACAGTCCATTGTGAGCCACCATGTGGGTGCTGGGACTTGAACCTTGGTCCCCTGGAGGAGTAGCTGAGCCATCTCTCCAGACTCCTTTTATTGTTTTGAAACATAGTCTCATGACGTAGCTCAGACTGGGTCATGACATAATCTCAAATTCTCCTGCCTTAGCTTTTCAAATGCTGGGATTACAGGTGAGTTCCACAACTCCTAGTCAAAAGCTTGACTTTTTTTTTTTTTAAATGTGGCTGAAGATGACCTTGACCTTCTGTTTTGTTTTAAGATTTTTAAAAATGTTTTATTATGTGTAGGTATATGTATGTCATGTATGTATGTGTATGTCTGTATATACATGTGAATATAGGTGTTTTCTAGGCCAGAGGTGACAAATCCCCCTGCAGCTGGAGTTACAGGTAGCTGTCAGCCTCCTAGTGTGGGTGCCAGGAGTCAAGCTCAGCTTCTTTCTAAAAGCAGCAATACTCTTAACTTCTGAACCACCTCTCCAGCCCAAAGCTTGACTATTCTTGAAGCCAAGACAAGGTAAAGTTAATTATGACTAAAAGTTTCACGAACACAGTGATTCTGTATTATTACCAGTAGCCCAAACTAGTAGATATCTAATGCTGTCTCCCTGTACCCCAGAATCTGATATAGAAATGTTAAATCCAATACAGGAAGAATTGGAAAGAAAATGGAATTTGGTAGACGGGCCATTGGACCTATTTCCCCTCAGTTTGAACTCAATGGTGTTTTTCTACATCAAATAGAAAAAAAAATTGAATAGAATCAAAAAAATTGGTGAGAATTATTGCTATCATTATTATTTTTAAAGATAGGATCTTACACTTTGTAGCCCAAGCTGTCCTTGTATGTTTAATCCTCCTGCCTCAGCCGCCCAGGTACTAGGATTGCAGGCATACATATCACAAGTGTCTTTGAGATCATTTTATTTGTACTTTTTAGATTTACTTTGTATGGGTGAGTGTGCTGTGGTTGAGTGTGTAAGTCACAGGACAAACTTGTGTGAGTCAGTTCTCCCAACACGTGGGCCCCAGGGACTGAACTCAGGTTTTCTGGCTTGGTGGTAAATGCCTTTATGCACTGAGCCACCTTGCTGGCCCTGAGAATTATTCTCAAACCCAGATGCTAGGGCTAGGATGTACATCAGTGGCAATGTGCTTGCCCAGCATGGGCAAGGCCCTGAGTCTAATCCCCTGCACCACAAACACACAGGTGATAATTTTTAATCCTTCCCATAAACTCATGCTAAGTTGAGGGGTGAGATGATCACCGTCCCATAGGAAGCTCTAGCTGGCGTACATGGGCCAACAGTAAGTCAGAGACAATGTCCAAGAGCAACAAAATGCACATGAGTCCCAGGCAGCCTTTCCCAAGTTCCAGCGGGCCTCCTTTCTGGGCAGCGGCCGGCAAGAGACCGTTCAAATGTTCTTAACAGAATTTTTATGCCTGGTGGGCAGCCAATAGGAAGAGGTGGGTGGAAAGTTCAGTGACCTGGACAGAAAAGGAGCCACATGGACCTAGCAGCATGTCCAGCCAGAGGAGGACTTGGTTTGGAGATTGATGTAGTTCCCTTGGGTGGACAAAGACATCATATCTTCTTTGGAATTGTTCATCATCTTCTCAACGAGGACTCTTTAAAAAAAAAAGAAAACAAGAAAAATAAGGTACCGAGAAGGTAGATGGAGAAAAAGGAGCTGCCCCCGGCATTGACTTACACCAGGCAGCAGTCCATAAAGACACCAGGTTTAAGCACCCCGATGTCCTCAATTATTTTAGGGACACTGGCATTCCAGGGGCTTAATCTGTACTTGTTTGCTCAGAAACCAGAAAAGAGGGTCCATGGGGCCACGGTGGACAATAAGTCTGTGTGCCTGTCTCCAGAACACTGAGAGCTACTCACCTCATAGCCTCGTTAATATTTCTGTTCTCCTTGACTGACGTTTCTGTCCAACCTGTGAAACCGTTCTCTTTACTGAACCGGTCAATCTGGTCCCGGCTCACCGCCCAAGGGGACAGATCACTCTGACAAAGAAAATACATAAATAGCAACACCACAATCTTCATAGGGACTTTGTGCATTTAGAACAATTTTCAACCAATGGCTACGACCACCAACATCCAAAATCTGCAGTCAAGATTCTTCCTTTAAACAAGAGTCACTCTCAGGAATGTCGAGTCGGCTCAGCAGTTCAGAGCACTGGCTGCTCTTCTGGAGGACCCTGGTTCAATTCCCAGCACCCACATGTCAGCTCACAATGTTCTGTAGCTCCAGACCCAAGGAACCTGACACTCTCTTCTGGCCTCCTTGGACACCAGGAACACACATGATGTATAGACATACATGCAGGCAAAACACACCCCCCACAAAATATAATAGGAAGAAACAAACAAACAAACAGAAATTCACTTTCTCAACATCTCTTCCAAAGAAAGCAGAGGTGACTTCCAACTTGAAAGGGGCAAACAGGCATGCTGGTGTGCTGGCGACCAGGCATGGTGGCACTAATTATAGCATTTGATTAACAGAAGCAGGACGGTCAGCTTTAGGTCAGCCTTGGCTACACAGACTCTAGTTTAAAAAAAACACGATAAAACAGGGTGTGCATGCTCAGAAACACAGGGCCTTTTAGATACCTTTACTCTGGCCGCTGACAGATGCTAGGGGCCATTTACTTAGACTGGCCACACACCTTGTTGGCCAAGAGCAGGCAGGGCACAGGCTCTCCGCTGGGCAGTGTGAGCTTGCTGTCCAGATCCTGTTTCCATCTTTGGCTGTTGCTGAAAGTCGTGGCGTTGGTGACGTCAAACATGATCACACAGGCAGAGGCGTCTCGGTAGTAGAGTCGCGTCATGGAGGTAAAACGCTCCTGCCCTGGAGGGAAGAGGAAGCTCTCGAAAAGGTGATTCTGAAAGTGATTCTCTGGTATCCTGGCTGCTCTTCCTTTAGTGGTGGACAGGGAGTTTTGTGTATGGTAGAGAGGCCCTCTGACTCTGTCTATCTCGTTAAGGGATTATTAAATTCAGTCAGATTCTGTATCTAAACAGCAATGTCCACATCCCTGTCTGCCACTTACTATCTGTGTGACTAAGAAAATCAGGCTGAGCACTTCAGATCTGTCATGTGTTGAGTAAGATAAAAGCTTTCACGACAGGGCTAGTGAATCAGTACATTTGAAATTTTTTTTTTGAAGATTTATTTATTTATTATGTATACAGCATGTATGACTGCAGGCCAGAAGAGGGCACCAGATCTCATTACAGATGATTGTGAGCCACCATGTGGTTGCTGGGAATTGAACTCAGGACCTCTGGAAGAGCAGCCAGTGCTCTTAACCTCTGAGCCATCTCTCCAGGCCCCATTTTAAATATTTTGAAGAACAGCATATAATAAGGATTCACCATTATCACTCTCTTATTTTCTGGAGATCTTCTTTCTCACTAAAGTCAGGTGAAGATCTAGAGCCCATCCCTCCTACTAGGGGAGTACCCACCTATGGCCTGGACAATCTGCCACCTTAACAGCATCTCCACACACATGGAGATGGCAGGACATCTCTTTGTCTTTGGGGTAATACACCTTCAAAATCATCTCAAAAGCTCAGAGCAGCTCAAACTTGTAGCTTCAGGGGAAAAAAAAGATAACGATTCCGCCATCCCATTTCCACCCTCCCTGCACCCCATCCGAGGCAGCTTGATGGTTAAATAATTTCTCCCTTGTTCTCGTCTGGTCTTTCCATTTTACCTGCAATATCCCACAGTTGAAGCCGCACCATCTCTGAGTCAGACCACTGGAGAACCTTCAGAGCAAAATCCACTGAAAATATATGCATATTATACTTTAATAAAATCTGCCTTTAAAAACAAACCCCAGGATGGGCCAGTGAGATGTTTCTGTGAGTAAGTTGAAGATATTTTCTGCCAAGCCTGTCAACCCAAATTCAGTCCCCATAAACTCTCTGAACCATCTATCCTCCGAGTTCTACATATATGTCATGATGCACATGTCCATATATACATACACACAAAATAAATGTTTTTTTTTGTTTTTTTTTTCGAGACAGGGTTTCTCTGTGTAGCTTTGCGCCTCTCCTGGAACTCACTTGGTAGCCCAGGCTGGCCTCGAACTCCGCCTGGCTCTGCCTCCAGAGTGCTGGGATTAAAGGCGTGCGCCACGTGTGTGTGTGTGTGTGTGTGTGTGTGTGTGTGTGTGTGTGTGTGTGTGTGTGTGTGTGTGTGTTTAAATCCAGGGATAAGCTCAGATTAAATATACAATGACAACCCCTGGGTCTTGAAACTCCAATTAGGTTTCAGCCTTCGATAGATGGAGATGAGTCCACATGGTGCATAAGTGTAGGACACAAATTTCATACTCAAAGGATATTCAGTGTTTTCTCCTCTATCAGATCAAGTTATTTGATACTAATTATCTCCATGGCTAGAAACAGGAAAGTGGGAGTGATTATGGAAATAATTCCTGTTCTCAGGTTAAATGTTTTCTGGGTGTTTTTAGGGGATTTTCTCAAGGAAAGGATGATGGGGGAGATGAAGGAAATGAAGTTAAGTGCGGTCCAACTTCACTGTTGGTACCTACTCAAATAGTATTATGAGAAAACACAACAACAATGTCCTCTGTGTCCTCCACAAGGCTTCGCTAACTATACCAGGCAGGAATGGAATAGCTGAAAGGGTGCCAGAGGATGAAGTTTGAGAGCTGTGCTGGAATCTGCCATGGGGTCTGCAGATGCTGAAACTTCATGACCCTGGGCTGAACAACTATCCCAGGGGAACCTCCCAAAGTTGTGTTGTGTGGGCTAGCACCAACTTGAGATCTTCCTGCCCTCACCTCTTGAGTGTGGAATTAAAGGTAAGAAAACCGTACTGTGTGGGGGAAAGCTATTTGTCAAGGAGAGAAAACAGAGTGATTTCAGTTTGGAAACATATTCTTCTACATCTGTGACCAAAGTAAAAACTAGGGAGAATTTATAATAAACATTGGGAAGCAGACAAACAAACGCAAACTTGCCAGAGTCAATTATATTCATACTGTAGGAAAACGAAGGCCACTGGGAAAAATTAATTCACAGGACACTTTTAACCCAAATCCATGGAACAAAGACTTAGATTTAGGAGTAGTGGGCAAAGTAGTCAGGAAACAGTCTCTGAAATGTTAATTTTGCCAGATGCTTTTGTACGTTAAAATGTTTTATAGTGTGTGTGTGTGTGTGTGTGTGTGTGTGTGTCTGCCTGCCTGCCTGTGTGCGTGCTCATGCCACAGTGTTCCCATGGAGGTCAGAGGACAACTTTTGGGAGTCTCTTCTCTGCCCATCTTGTGGGGTTGGGGACTCCAGCTCAGGTGGCCAGGCTTGGCATAAAGCCCCGTTACCCACTGAACCGTCTCTCCCATCTTTGGTCAAATATTCTTTCAAATTAAATAGTGAATTAAAAACAACTTTCATATGAACACCGGCACACACTTTCAAAATCTATGCCGGTACAAGTTTTAAATAAATATTTAAATTTTTATTTGAGGTTACTCTTTCATATCACCATCTTGTTAACTACTTTGTACTTGCAGTCGTGTGGGGGTGGGGTGGGGAAGGGGGGTGGGGGGGGTTGGTACAGTTCAGTTAAGTTCAAAGACCACGCTAGAAAAGAAATTAATTAACTTTTGGTTAATTAATGTAACTCTCCCCCCCTCCCCCAGTGTGACAGAAGGGTGGGATGATTGGCCACTTGGGGTGTATTTCACATTCTTTCTTGAATTCCTCACATTTCCCACGAAGTCCACGAATTATTAAAGCGACCTACAGGGCTCATCAGTCCTGACCAGAATCTGTCCCCCAACCTTCCCCACATCCCGTCCTTCTGACTGCCTACCTAGCTCCTGGGATCTCCTCTTCAGCTTAAGTCGGTGAGAAACCGGGCAACCCTCCCCAGCCTGCACTTGAACCAGGGATCAGCTGCCTCAGCTGATTGGAAAAGTTGCTCCCTTCGGGAGGGTACTTACTACAGGCTGTGAACAGCCCTAGTCAGACCCCTCCACCTTCTCCATCATACTTCGGCCCGATCTTTGCAAGCAGTTGGCACAGGCTGGGAACCCCCCAGGAATGACCTCGGTACCCGGCGGCTACCGGCTGCAAGCCCCGACGCCTGCTCCCGGCCGCCCGCGGCCTCTCACCTCCCACGGTGGACTTGTAGTGCTTGCTGAAGCTGTCCTGGGAGTAGCGCTGGACCAGTGACGTCTTGCCCACGGCGGCGTCCCCCACCACCAGCACTTTGAACAAGTGATCTCGGCTGCCCATGGCTAGCGGTGGGGAGAGGTTTTGTTTTGTTTTGAATGTTGTGTTTTCGGGAAGTCGCTTATTTTAACCCCTTGGGTTCCCGGGGTTTCTTCCGACTGAAGTCATGCATGCATCCCCACCCTTGGCTAGCTGAAGTTGCTCTGACGGGAAAGCAGAAAAGGAAACTTTTGCACTCGGCCTCTGCGCGCTTCCTCCCCGTGCGGTCGCAGCCAGGGTGGGGCGGGTAGGAGCTCGACCCCCTGCGGTTGGCACCTTCCCGTCAGGGACCTCCAAACAGCTCGCCAGCGCGCGAACCCTACTGGCACCTTGCTCCGCTAGGTACAGAGGACCTGGACCCTTCTCCGACCACATACACCAAATTGGGGGTGTGCAGAGTCCTTGTCCCGTCCCTGTGCTGCCACTGGCGGCGCACTTCCCGTCTTCCTTTACCAGCGTTGTCCGCCCCGCTGCACGGAGCACTACATTTCCCAGTGTACCTCTTGGTGAAGCGACCGGGGGAGTGTGGAGAGTTGCCGAGTGGACTCTTGGGAAATGTAGTTTCCTAACTACCTTGCATAAACCTACATAAAGTTTCAAAGTTTTCAAACTTTCAAGCATTCAGAAGTCTATTTTAAAACTATTCTAAAATTCGGCGTGGTGGCGTAGGCTTGTAATCATTGCCTTGGGGAGATGGAGACAGGAGGATCCGAAAACCCAAGGTCATCATCTTCTGCAACATAGTCTGTTCAAGGATCCCCCGACCCTTTCCTCTCCTGAGAGATAAGGGGTTTGAAGCAACTTCGGGGGCCGTCCTGAACTACATAAGCCATGATCTCTCCTGTCTAAATCTGTCCCCAGATTTTTTAAAAACACAGTTTAAAGGTTTCCAGACGGTTTTTATCATATTTTTAAAGGTTTTATGACACGAAGATAAACTACTCCATTAACAAAAACCCAAACATAATCCCTCATGTTCCAAGTGGAGTCCATTTCCTGTTGTGTCAACAACACAGTCATATCTCGAACCTTGTAAATGTGATCTCATGTTTTCCATATGACCAATAACAGGCAAATTCAGGGACATTTCACCCAAGAGATCGATCCTTAGAAAAATCTGTCAAAAGTCACAAAACTTAAAAACTAGCTCTAGCAATAGCAATATAGAATAAGCAAGAGACAGTTCCTCATTCATACTTCCACATTTCTTACACCAGCCACGGATATCATTTGAGCACAAAGTTCATTTCCTTTTGTTGCTGCTATTGTTTCTGAATAATCATAAAATGATTGGCAAATATTTTTTAATTTTTCTACCTGTAATTTTTCTGTCTTGCCTGAACTTTAGATAGGAGTTGTGGCTGGTAGAATAAGCTTCACTTTTTTTGTTGTTGCTGTTTTTTTGTTTGAAAGAGGGTTTTCTGTAGGCTAAGTTGGCCTCAACTACTTACACATGACCTTGAACTTGTGACTCCTCTGTAACCACACCCAGTTTTGTACTTGAGGCGATTAAATCCAGGCACACCCCCAGCCCTCTTCTTCTTTTTTCTTTTGACCGACTCTCTGTAGCCAAGACTGACTGAGCTGGTGATCCTGCTTCTACCCCTTCCACAGGAGTAGTGCACACCACGGCCAACCTGCGGTGGGGGCGGCAAGTCTCTCCCACCACTCCCTCCCTTCCCCCTCCCTTTTTAAAAATAAAAACTTATAGTTAGTATACAAAGTAACACCTTCCATTGCAACATTTCCACTCACACATTGACATTCTCTATTCTAATCACCACGCTTGCCTGTCCACTCACCTTTAAGGACTACGTTTTCTCAGATTCTATTGCTTTGACATAGTTCAGCACCCTTTGGCTTTCCCACCATTAGCCCCATCATTTCTCTCCTCCGTGTAGACTTCATATTTTGAGCATTGTTAATTCTTTTTATCTACATTCATTTTCCTCAGTTCCTCCTTTGAAAAAGTCAAATACCACATGCTGATTCTTAAAAAAAACGCTTCTCAGGGATGCTCTGAGGCTCCAGACTAGCACAGACAACTGCTCCTGTTGGCTGATTAGCAGACCTAGATGGTAGGACCCTATTATTGAAGACACCACATGCTTTGATTGCAGTTCATAGAGACATCAAGCTGTAACCGAACTGGAAGCCTCTCTGCTAGGCTGCTGGAGGTGGGTGGTCATTAGTGGTGAACCCTGATTGTGTGCTACACTCAACATACCAGCAAGATGTGTCCAGTGGTGCAGGAATGGTGTGACTATTGTGGGGGCAACCAATCACTTTCATTTTTATTATTACCATTTTTTTTCTTTTTCTTTTTTTTAAAAACTTAGTTCTGGCTGGACAGTGGTGGCGCACGCCTTTAATCCCAGCACTCGGGAGGCAGAACCAGGCAGATCTTTGTGAGTTCGAGGCCAGCCTGGTCTACAGAGCGAGATCTAGGAAAGGCACAAAGCTACACAGAGAAACCCTGTCTCGAAAAACCAAAAAAAAAAAAAAACCAACTTATTTCTGTATACATGTAAACCCTTACTACCAGTTTGTTATCTTAATTATCCTAAACAATATTTTAAATTATTTCTATTTCATGTGCATTTGCGTTTTGCCTGAATGTCTGTCTGTGTGAAGGTGTCAGATCCCCTGAAACTGGAGTCACAGGCAGCAATGAGCTGTCGTGTGGATGCTGGGAATTGAACCCAGGTCCTCTGGAAGAGCAGCCAGTGCTCTTAATTGCTGAGCCATCTCTTCAGCCCTATTATTGCCATTTTAAAATTTTTATTTAATGTTATGTGTATGAATGTTTTGCCTGCATGTATGTCTGTGCACCACGTGTGTGCTGATGCCCATGGAAGTCAGAAGAGGGCATTGGATCCCCTAGGACTATGATTACAGATGCTTATGAGCCTTCATGTGTGTGCTGGGAATTGAACCTGGGTCCTCTGGAAGGGCAACAAGTATTCTCAAGTACTTGCCTAGCATTCATTACACCATCAGTTTAATTCCCAGTCACCATAAGCTAACAGTGGTGGTACAGCATTTAGGAGGTAGAACAGGAGGATTAAAAGTTTATGGTCATCCTCAGAGTTTCAGGACAGCAAAAAAAGAAAGTGTCAGGTAAAGGAGATAAAAACATGCCCCCATCCTGATTACCTTTGTCAACTTTGCACAGCCTGTGGTCGCCGAAGAGGAAAGCAGTGATGAATTATCTAGATCAGTTGGCCTGTGGGCTGTCTGTGGAGGACTGTCTTGCTAATTGGTATAAGAAGGCTCAGCACAGGAGCCACGTGGTTCCTGGGCAGATGGTTCTGGATGTAAGAAGGCTAGCTAGCTAAGCAGCAGCCTGCAGGAGTCATAAAGCTGTGTTCCTCCAAAATTTCTGTTGTGTTTCCTTCACTGGTGATGGTGAGTGGAACAGTATGCAGTTCTGCTTTCGGGTCCCCCGTCCTGAGTCTAAGATGAAATAAACCCTTTTCTGCCCTAAGTTGCTTTTGGTCAGTGTTTTATCACAGCAACATAATTAAACTCAAACAACCATCTCTAAATACGACAAAATTGATATGGCGATTCTTTCAAGCTGAAAGTCCTTGAGGAACTGTGACAGTAGGCAGTGCCATTTGATCTAGCTTTTTCTGTATGCGTGTAAGTCAAAACAGTCTTTCTGGAGGGCTGTCCTTCATAAGTTAAGGCTGGAAAATAGCCTTGATCACCCACAGGAGTCTGGTCGCTAGGGTGATAGTGAGTCTCAATAAACAAATTTTGAAATAACTTCCTTTTTCCTAGCTTCTATCCTTTCCTTTGCAAGACACCTCTAGAACAGAGCAGCTTTGCCTAGATAGCCACTCATCCTGCCATCCCGTCCCACGTGTGTATTGACCTTTGTCTAAAATGAATACAGCATTATGCCTTTATTTCTTTGGCCTTTACTCTTGTTCACGTAAACGTCTTAACATTTCTATGCTTTACTTTTTGTTAATCAGCCTTTATATAAACTGGGCTCCCAGATGGGGCCAGAGCTATTGTTGGAAACTCCGGTGGTACAACTGGTTAGCAGAACTTACACAGCGCAAAGAGTCGGGGAGCAGATGAGTCTCGCCCACACTGGAGTGCTCCGGTGACCTGGTCATGGGTCTCCATGACTTGAGGACTTGTTGCACAGTAGTTTGTTTATTTTCTCTTTAATTTATCCCGTGAAACTTCTCTAAAACATCACTGTTTCCTCATTGTCAGCTGACTATCTTTCCTAAACTGACTAGCCATTCCATAAGTATTCAAAGTTGTCTATGCACGTGTTCCACCCTCTTAAACAACTTACCAACTTTATCTTTCCTGATCTTAAGTGAGAATTGCCCTCCTCCCACAAAACAGGGTCCTTTGTGTTTCCTCCTCTTCTTCCTCTTTTTTTTTGCGGGGGAGAGGTCCTGTTATGTAGCCCTGGATGAATCTGGAACTCGTAGCAACCCTATGACCCATACACATAAAAACAATAAGGTGTTCAAGAATATATGTTTTTGAAATTATGTGACAGTGGCGTGGACCCCATGGCAGCGACCACTGCTTCTTGACAAAGTTCCAACATTTCTCCTTTGCGGATCTCAATTCTTCAGCACCCCTTTACTTTCATCTTTAACCATTCTCACTGTGTGTCATGGGAGTTCCCTTATGCCTTTTCCTTTGGGAGATTTTGTTTGAGCTTTAAATGATGAAAATGTGCTGGGTGGTGGTGGTGCACACCTTTAATCCCAGCACTTGGGAGGCAGAGCCAGGCAGATCTCTGTGAGTTCGAGGCCAGCCTGGTCTACAGAGTGAGATCCAGGACAGGCACCAAAACTACTCAGAGAAACCCTGTCTCAAAAAAAACAAAAAACAAAACAAAACAAAAAAAAAACAAAAAGAGAGAGAGAGAGAATGTATAAAATGGCAGCCTCTCTAAACAAAATAATTCTTTGAAAAAAAAATTCCTGCCACTCCCATACAAGTTAACACCAAGCTGTTAGAAAATTTAGATAAGTAACATTTGCTTGCTAAATAAGGTATATTTGATAAATAAGATTTATTTGATAAATGAGGTATATTTGATAATCAAGATTTATAAATTCCTAAGGTCTACTCAGGTTCACAGTAATATTTGTCTAGCTTCCTCTTCGCTCACTTTAAGCTTTAGCTATTTGGATAAACTAAGACATATAAAAAACTGCAATATTCTATAATGCAGTGTCTGATCCCCCAGAAAAGTCCCTTTCCCAAGGTCAGGTATTAAGACAAAAACCCCCATTCTCTCAGGGACTTGAAGAAAGTTCTTGCTTGCTATAAAAGGAGACATTCTTATCTCTGGCAAGAGGAACTTGTGGCCTCCGTTAACATATGACTGGTGCCTATTAACTTGTCAAGGTCAACACTTGCTTCCTCAATCCCTGATCTCAAACCACACAACAGCTCATATGCCTCT